TTGTTGCTAAATGCCATCCATTTGGTTCATATTCATAGCGACCCTGTGTAGGAGTGGCTGGTGGGTTCGAACCATTGACTTTGTGGTTAGCAGCCCAGTGCTTATCCTACAGCATCACACCAGGACTGCAACGTAACTATGAACTTTATTTAATAATAATGTATTGGTGTTGCTGTTATTGTTAAGTGTCATTGAGTTGGTTCCAACTCATAGCAACTTTGTACAGAGTTTCCAAGGAGCATCCAGTATGCCTGAACCACTGACCTTGTGCTCAAACCAACCTTGCAGTCCAGCACATAAACCCTCAATGTAGGAGGTGTAACAAATGTGCATCAACGCAAGACATTAATAACAGGAAAAGCTATATGCAAAAGGAGCTAAGCGCTGGACTGCTAATGTCAACATTAGAGGTTCAAATCCACCAGCTACTCCGAGGGAGAACAATGAGGCTGTCTGCTCCTGCACAGATTTGCAGTCCCAGAAGCCCTCAGGAGCGGTTCGAGTCTGTTGCCTAGCCTGGCCGGGAGTCTGAACCGACTGCATGGCAGCAGGTAGGGGTGGAGTAGAGAGACAGAGACATGAGAACACTCTATTTTCTGCACAATTTTTTTTTTTTGTAAATCTAAAACTGCCCTGCAAACAAAATCCATTAAAATTCACAACAAATGCTAGCCATTTTGTTCCTATGCTGAGATCAGTTAGGTGCTGTCTTATCTCACGGTATCTGTACAGACAGTACATGCTATTGAGGTGCCTGCTGAGGCTGAGCGCTCAGGTGACCACACCAGCAGCTGGAAACAGGGTTCAGCATCTTCAAACCTCCTGTGGAACTTCCCGCTCGCCTCAGACCCTCTCCTGAAGACTAGTCTGTCCAGGATGGTCTTGCATTTAACCCACAGCCTTGGAGAAGGGGCATCTGTCAAACCAAGCAGAGCAGCTACACCAAACCTTCCAGCATCGGGGCAATGAAGCATGCCCAACGGAGTGGGACCACCTCAGCTGTCCTGGAATAGGTGCTCTGAGGCTATGTTGGCTTCCTCTTGTTCACCAGTGCACCACTTGGGGCGGATTCACCCCAGAGGAGGCCAGAGGGATGCTGTCCCTCAGGACTTTACTAGGAGGACGCTCTGTAGTTTAGACACCTGGAGAAAGGGTTGCTCACGAGCATGTAGCATGTGTTTCTCCTGTAGTTTCAACAAAGACCAGGAACAGGTTTTAACCAAAGTGTGTTGGCCTTGAATTAAGTAGGAAGGTTCTCAATCCTCAGGGAGGTATTTGTAGACCCTAGTCCTACCCCTAAGGAGCTCTGGTAGCGTAGTGGTTACGAATCGGGCTGCTAATCTCATGGTTAGCAGTTCGAAACTACCAGCTGTTCCGCAGGAGAAAGATGAGGCTTTCTGCTCCCGTAAAGATTTACACCCTCGGAAACCCTGTACAGGGTCGCTATGGGTCGGAACCGACTCGACGGCACTTAACAACAACCACCACAAGGAATGCAGCTTGGCAGGTCTTGGTCCTACAGGTAAGTCCTCACTGTGGACTTTGCAGACAGTGAAGATCACGGGGTAGGAGCAAAGACGTCTCTGGGCTGACAGTTAGGCCAAAGTCTTCTGTATCTAACTATTTCCAGCATTAACAGTGAATTGTGGCCCAAACATTGCCATCAAGTTGATTCTCACTCATCCAGCCTAGAGGATAGAGGAGAACTGCCCCACAGGGTTTCCAAAGCTATCATCTTTACAGAAAGGGGGGCTGGAGGTGCAGGGGCTAAACACTGGGCCACTAACTGAAAGGTCAACAGAAAGGTCAGCAATTTCAAACCACCAGTGACTCACTGTGCGGGAGAAACATGAGGTGGGTTGCTTCTGTTCAGATTTGTTGTTGCTGTTGTTATTGTTAAGTGCTGTTGAGTCGGTTCCGACTCAGTGACCTTGTAAAGGGTGTCTGAGGAGAGGCTGGTGGGTTTGAACCGCTGAACTTACAGCTAGCCATGCAGTGCTGATGCTGCAGCTCCACACCAGGAGTTCTCGTTGTTGTTGTTAAGTGCCCATCAAGTTGGTACCGACTCATAGTGACCCATGTACAACAGAACGAACACTGCCGGGACCTGGGCCAACCTCACTATTGTTGCCACACTTGAGCCCATTGATGCTGCCACTTTGCCAATCCATCTCACTGGGGGTCTTCCTCTCTTTTTCTGACCCTTCACCTTACCGAACATGATATCCTTCTCCAGCAATTGGTCCCTCCTGATACCATGTCCGAAGTATGAGACACGGAGTTTGGCCATCCTGGCCTCCAAGGAGCACTCTGGCTGCACTTCTTCCAAAATGGATCTGATGGTTCTTTTGTCAATCCATGGCCCTTTCAATATTCTCCTCCAACACCATAACTCAAAACATCAATTCTTCTATGGTCTTCCTTATTCACTGTCTAGCTTTTGCATGCATATGAGATTATTGAAAATACTATGGCTTGGGTCAGACACATCTTAATCTTCAAGCTGACGTCTTTGCTCTTCAACACTTTAAAAAAGGTCTTGTGCAGCAGATTTGCCTAATGCAATATGTTGTTTGATTTCTTGACTGCTGCTTCCATGAGTGTTATTAGTTGATCCAAGAAGATTGAACTCCTTCACAACTTCAATCTTTTCTCCATTGATAAGAATGTTGTTTATGGGTCCAGTGGTGAGGAGTTTTGTTTTCTTTACATTGAGATGCAATCCTTACCGAAGGCTGTGGTCTTTGATCTTCATCAGTAAATATTTTAAGTCCTCTTCACTTTCAGCAAGCAAGGTTGTATCATCTGCATTATCGCAGGTTGTTAATGAGTCTTCCTCCAATCCTGATGCCACATATTTCTTCATAGAACCCAGCTTTTCTTCCTATAACCACGTTGTTCTTCATAGACCCAGGAGTCCTACCCTCAGTTAATAGATGAGTGCTTAACCTCTGTGCCACCAGGGCTACTTATTATGTGACCGAAACCAAAACAACAGAATAATCCTACTGTTTACTGAGTCAATTCCAACTCATAGCAACCCCACAGGACCGAGTAGGGTTTCTTTATAGGATTTCTGAAACTGGAAATCTGTATGGGAACAGATAGACTCATCTTTCTCCCATGGAGTGGCTGGTGTGGTGGATTCGAACATGTAACCCACTAACTCCACCACCCAAGACAGACCAGTTGCCATCAAGTTAAATTCAACTCATGGTGACCCATGTGTGACAGAGTGAAACTGCTCCACAGCCTAGGTAGAAGTTGTTGTTGTTGTTGTTATGTGCCATCGAGTCGGTTCCGACCCATAGCGACCCTGTATAGGGTTTCCGAGGGTAGGTAGAAGTAGATCATCGTTATCATGCTTCCAAGGTGCCTCTGGGTGAACACAAACCTTAAACCTCTATATTAGCAGCTGAAGGCATTGATTCTTCGTACCACCCAGGAATTCTGCCCCAAATAGATGAGCTTGTAATGATTTTCCCCATTGCTTCATGCTTTACTATACAGCAAAGGGAGATGTGAAGCTGGAGAACAAATGAGTTGAAAGAGACAGAAAAGAGACAGGATTGCATGGTGCGTGGAGGCCGTGGTCCAGGACATACCCTGGTGGTAACGTACCCTGGTGGTAACGTTGATGGCGGTGTCAGATTGGCTCCTCCTCTCCGTCCGACCCCCTTTCTTCCTGTGCCCAGTGGTCAGGAGCTGTCTGTCAGAGGTCATATCGTTCTGGGACTTGGAAAGCTCTAGAAATACAAAGAGGTGACAGGTATGAAGGCACAGCTTTGCCTAGACTTTCAAACCCTAACCCACATCCCCAAGTCTGCAAGGGAAAAGCTCAGAGGGGGCAGAGGCAGGTGCCCTGGGCCAGTCCTGAGGTCTGAGGACGTCCCTGAGACTATGAGCTGGATGTGGGCACACTGCTCCAGGACAAGAGTGGGAGAAGAAGAGCTGAGTTCCCTCAAAGGTGGGGATCCCCACCAGGGCAGCTCCAGAGCACCTTGCTGCCCTCTGACTCATTCTGTCACTGAGCTGGTAGTGCATTGATGTAGTCTTAGTCCTTCCAGTTCCATTAGCAGATGGCACCCTAACCAATAAGAGGCTTCTAGGGGCTTCCTTACAAAGACTTTATATCCAAAGGCCCTCTCTAGTGGGAGTCCTTATAACTATTTCAGGAAGCAGCCACTGAAAAGATGACTTCACACTTGCATTTTTGTTTTAACAATGTGATGTGGTCTCGGATACAGATGGGCAACTCGAGAAAGAAAATATCCACACACCAAAGTCAAAGAGTCACTCAATGGTGAACACTTGTTCCAAAGATCCCTTCCTTGTCCCATGAGATCCTCATTTCCTTAAAAATGATCTCTCATGTGAGGAGCCCTCTAATGTGAGCTAGGAGCCTCCTCTGCATTGTTGTTGTTGTTGTTAGGTGCCATCGAGTCGGTACCGACTCATAGTGACCCTATGCACAACAGAACAAAACACTGCCCGATCCTGGGCCAACCTCCCAAATGTTGATATGTTTGAGTTTAGTGCTGCTGCCACTGCGCTAATCTATCTAGTTGGGGGTCTTCCTCTTTATCTCTGACCCTCCACTTTACCAACCATGGCATCCTCCTTCAGAGACTGGTCTTCCACATTAGGAAAAGTGAAATGAAACAAGTGAAGTTAACTTTTAATACTAGATTTTTAAATGTTTGATGTAACCTAATATATCCAAAATACTGGTTTTGAAACACACCATGAATATAAATAGGATCAATGAAACCTTTTCCATTATTTTCACACTCGGTCTCTGCAATCTGGTATGTGTTTTACTCTTAGGGTACATCTCACTCAGGACTGCTACCTCTCAGGGTCCCCACAGCACAGCGTGACTGTCATTGATAAAGAGTCCCATGAATCTTCAGCCCACGCACTTCCGGAGGCCAAGTCTGTAGAACATCCATCCTCTTGAGAGAAGACCCTGGAAGCGCCCTTTGTGGTGACTCCCCCTCCCCCCACCCCCGGGTTACATTGAGCCTCTCCTCTCTGAGGGGGATTGTACCCCTGCCCCCTCAAGTCCATGTGTGTCCTGGAGCTAGAAAGGAACCAGCGCACACACGAGTCCTCAAAGCTGATGCAACACTAACTGGAACCTTCACACAGCCAAGTCCTGGCAGGCTGGGAATACACAGTGGGGACACCCTCATTTCAAGCCCTGAGAAAAGGCTATTGTCTCCAGCTGTCTGCTCCACTCCCACCCAAAAGCTGTGCCTCCATTTGGCTGGCTTCCAGCCACTCAATAAGGGGAGACAGCCTCCCCAAGCAATTCAGCTTCCAACAAGCAGGCTTTTACGGTGCTATTAGGGCAGAAAATGAAAATGCAAACAAAGCAGTCTACTGCTCCAGTTTTCTCATTTTCTCTTCTTCTTGGGGGTGGGGCAGGGGGAGGGAATTGGGGTGGGATCAGGAGGAAGGTTGTTAGGCTGAAATCTGAAAATGTGCTGATTATAAAAAGGGCTAAAGAGCTCTGGTAGCGTAGTGGTTACGAATCGGCAGTTCGAAACTACCAGCCATTTCACAGGAGAAAGATAAGGCTTTCTGCTCCCGTAAAGATTTACAGCCTCAGAGACCCTATACAGGGTCATTGTGAGTCGGAACTGACTCCATGGCACTTAACAATACCAACATAAAAAGGGCTAGAATATGCAACTCTTTTCTTCCAGCTGATTTGACTTCCCAGGACAACAGCAGCCACCAGAGGTTATCATTTGGGGTCAGCTTCCCAAACCCCTGGGTTTGGGTCAGGCCTACCCCCAATGTTCTGGGCCACTGGGAGTCCAGAGTCCATTTCTCCCTCCTTCCTGGATCACTCTTACTTCCTACCACACCAAAATGAGACTTCTCTCCTTTCCACTTTTACAGCAACATGGGTGGCAGGAAGGATCAAGAGGGATCATGGAAAATCACTCAAAACCCGAGAAATAGGAGCCAGCATCTTCCAACAGCTACCCCACACACACAAAGGGTGTCATCGAGGTATGGAGAGATAGAGCATCTGAGGACTCTAGACTCATGGAGGGAGAAAGGCTGTGTGCTGACCAGCAGGGGGCTGGTTTGCAAAATGTGCCCTTTGGTTGTTTTAAACGATTGTATATTCCAGCGTGTTTTTGTGTGCATCAAAAAAGGGATTGTAATTATTACAATGAAACAAGATACGATTGGTTGAGTGCAAATCTGATGTAGACCCTCACTCAATTCACAATAAAAGCTTTAAAAAAAAAAAAAAAAAAAGGCGTCATCAAGATATCACCACTCATGGTGACCCCACGTATGTCAGAGCAGAACTATGCTCCATGGGGCTTTCAGGGGCTGATTTTTCTGACTCAGATTGCCAGAAATTTCTTCCCAGGTGCCCTGGGGAAGCTCAAACCTCTCAGTCAGCCACACTCAAGAACAAAAGTTCCCATCATCCTGCTGCCAGGCCCATGAGGAAAGGTGTGTGAAGCACGTGGGAAGAACCTAGGAAAGGGCTGGGGCAGATTGTCATTCCCAGGGGCCCAGAAAATGTAGAGGAAGGGTGTTTCTATCCCTGCTCTAAGTCAAATCCTCAAGGTCAAGCCCTAGTGCCTGGACATATAGGGGGATGCTGAGGGAGGGGGTGCAAGGTAGGAAGTTCTCAGGTGACTTGCCTCATCAGAAGAGGATGCTGTTGGCTTTTGCAAAGTCCAGCCCAGGAACCAGCTGTGCTTGTTGCTGTAACAATGATGCTATTCAGGCTATTAACTGGCCAGCTCCACAGGTGGAGCGTCTGCACACCAAGGGCAAGTGTGGGGGTTAGTGACTGCCAGCGAGTGTGTCCGTGTCTAGGGGGCAGCTGTGACTGGACAGATGTGTGGTGTCCCTGCCTCTGGGTTTTGGTGAACGCATGACCAGAAGAGCTGAAGTTTGTCACTGAAGGCACAGTGGTGTGGTAGGAGGGTTCCACAGCCACGAAGATATGGGCTGGGGCTGTGTGTCTCGAAGGAGATGTTGAGAAGGGCACAACTAGAAAGCCAGATGGTCAGAGAGCTCAGCTGTCACCATCAGGACCATGGCCCAGCCTGGTGGGGGGGGGGATTGGAAACCTCCAGATGCTACCACAAACAGGATCTGAAATTCAGGGAGCCCTCCCTACTGAAGGAGGAGGCCCATCTGCTGTCCGGGACAGCCCTGTCTGGAAAGCCATGCTTTGCTTTCAATTGTCATACAAACGTTTAAACAGGAATGCAAGGGACACAAAAGACTCAATAATCCAAAGCATAAGATTGTCCCCAAGCCCGAAGGTCACAAAGCAACTGCAGGGAACTCCGAAGAAGAAGAGGCCACACAGCCTCCACCCCCACCCCCAGCACAGCAAGTCTCCATCCTGGGTACCGATGGGAGGTATGAGAGGGTCTGTCCTCTGGGACCCATTTTTGAAAACTTATCTGAACAGAAAGACAAGATTCTAAGTAGTGCTAGCTCTGGGTTGCTTGCTTCTACAAATTGCTGCTAATTGAAAATTGCCAATTGAAGAAGATCAATGTACCAAGGAGAGTGGAAAAGGCAAGCCACCTGAAAGGGGCCTGGAACCCTGTCACAAGTGTCTTTGTTGCTCGGAGCAGTGAAGCATGGAGCTCCTTCCCCCGCATGAACTCAGGGTGTTTGGCCAGAGCAGAAGGAGGCCAGTCAGCCTAGTGGCCACTTTCCCAGGACAATCCCAGCCCAGGTCACTGCCACCTGGGAACAACACACAAAGCAGCATCCACTTACTTTTCATGTGGGTGGTAACAGACAGAAACAAGTTTTCCACGGACTTATTAAATCCTTTAAACTGACCAAGGTCCTGTAGCCAAAACAAAGACAGGAGAGAGAATAGGTTAATGTCCCCATCTGTGCCAGCAGCCTCAAGACTGCCAACCCCAATCCACTGTTTGGTGTGTACAGGTGTAAGTGTGTGTCGGTATGGGTGTGTGCAGGTACGGTGTGGTGTGTGCATGTCTTCGTGGATGTGCAGTTGTTGGTGCATGTGAATGTATGCTTGCAAGTATGCTGGTGTGTATATGTGTGCAGAAGAGTCTGCCCAGGTGTGAGTGTGTAAGTGTGGACATGTTGCACAAGAGTACGCTGCACAGGTGTGTGGGTGGGTATAAATGTGTTGCGTAGGTGTGAATGTGCGTACATTGCAGGTGTGAGCAGGTATGGGTGCAAACATATGTGGGTATTTTGCACAGGTGTGTATGCAAGTGTGTGGAGAATGTGTGTGAGTATGTTGTACAGGTGTGTGTGGGCACATATGCAGTATGTATAGTTCAGGGGTTGTTGGTATGCACCTATGGGTACGTATGGGTGTATTGTGCAAATGGCATCTATGTGTTGCACAGGTGTGGGTAAGTGCAGATGTGGGTATGTGTGCAGGTGTGGGTTTGTGCAGGTGCATGCATACCTGCAGGTGGGGAAGAACACAAGCCCCTCAGAAGGCAGGCATTCTCTTGACTTACTTTCCTGTACTGATGTTGGCATCCACATTGAAGGGAAGGATTTTTTCAATAGGTTGTTGGCAAGATAACAACTACCTTTTGAAATAATGATTGGTGTTTTATTGGCTTAAAGGTTGTACCCAAGTAAATTACTGTTTGCTTAACCTCCTTTCTCTATAGTCTCCCTAACTGAATGCAGAGGGGACACCCACATGGATGGAACCATACAACACAGGGGCTGAGGGTGAACAGGGCACTTGGTAGCCAGACTGGAACCAAGGAGCTCCAAGCAGAAGAAAACAACAAAAAATAAATCACTCTCTCCTCTCTAGGTCTCATCCATCCATCTATCCACCCATCTATCCCTCCATCTAGCCATCCCTCCATCCATCCATCCACCCAACCATCCATCTATCCCTCCATCTATCCACCTATCCATCCATCCATCCCTCCACCCATCCACCCAACCATCCATCTATCCATCCATCTATCCACCCAACCATCCATCTACCCATCCATCCATCCATCCATCTATCCACCCACCCACCCACCTGTCTAATCATCCACCTAGCCATCCATACATATACCCTCAGTAAATATACACTAGCACACAGGTGCTGAAACAGGAATGTGACCAATCACCTTTGGAGAATTTAAGTTTCAAAGAGAAACCAGAGCAGGATTTTGAAGAGTATCCTAGTCTCTACTGATGTTGGAAAGGAATGTTTATGGGTTTTGTTTTTTGTTTTTTTTTTCTCTCTCTCTCCCTCTCTCCCAGATGTGCATTCCCATACTGTCCACACCAATATGGTAGCTCTCTTTCATTTACAGAATCTAAGAAAGAAGCTAGCCCCAACCCTAGGTTCCCATGGCACGTTACAGCAGCCACAGAGAAAGCCAGACAAGGATTCCTGCTTCCACTTAACCACCTGGGAAGCCCAGTGCTTAGTCCCCGGTGCCATTGTAACAGAAATACCACAAGGGGGTGATTTAACAAACTGAAATCTATTCTCTCACAGTTTGGTGGTGGTGGTGTGCCATGGAAGCATTTCCAACTCATTGTGATCCTGCATAGGGTTTCCAAGACTGTAAATCTTTATGGGAGCAGAAAACCTCATCTTTCTTCAGCGGAACGGCTGGTAGTTTCAAACTGCTGACCTTGAGGTTAGCAGACCGACTCGTAACCACTATGCTACCAGGTAGAAGTCTGCATTCAGAGTGTTTGCTCTAAGGGAAGGCTTCCTCTCTCTCTTCTCATCTCTAGGGGACAGTCTTTCTTTGTTCCCTGACTCCTTGGTGATCTTCAAGTGACTTGGCATCTCCCTCTGCTTAATTCTTTGCTTGTTTCAGCTCTTGTAGATTTCCTAAGAAACAGACTCAACACATACCCTACATTCAGCTTGTCTCATTAATCACACAAAGACAATGCACTCCCCCAAAGGGAAGGATTACCAGAGGCATTGTGGTGAAGAGCCACAGTCGGTTCCAACTCACGGCATAAAAGTTAGGATTTACAGCCTTTATTTTGGAGGAATGGAATTCAATCCCTAACGTTCAGATGACTCCTAAACTCCCAGCTCACTGTTGTGGGCAGCATTGATTTGCTGCTCTGCTTTTCATGTGAGCCTGCAGATACACACAGGTTAGTACACACATTTGCACACTCACTCTCACACAGTCTAAATCGACCCATGATCCCCTGAGACACACAGAGACCCAGGTATACGTGGACCTTCCCCCCCACCACACACACACACACACACTCACAGGCACAGGGCAGGTTAGAGACGTAGAGCAAGGAACAAGAGTAGAGCAGAGCAGAGGTGAGCAGGTAGTTAATGGTGGGAGGCCCCTGGGCCTCTGCCAAGCAAGGAGAGCACACAGACACACAGTGTGGGAGGCCCAGCACTCCCCAGCCTTTAATTTGGGGGTCTTCGTTCTCTGCTTTGATCATCACCCTCTCCAGACCACACCAGTCCCTTTCTATGAGGGGCCAACCACCCATCCAAGCCTCCCTTTCTTTCCTTTTTCCATTCCCAGGGAAGCCCATAGATAAATGAGTACCTTACCCCTGAGCAACTACCACACTGGTTTTCACTGTGGGGAGGTGGTGTGGGAGGAACCACGGAAATCTTGCTACCAAGGGAACAAAAGGGAATAAAAAACAGGTTAAGGTCTATACAAAGACCAGTGCCACAAAACACAAAAGCCTTCAGTACCCTACTAGCCAACTTCTCAGCGATTTTTTCACAGAGAACCCCACTCCTACCCTAGCCCAGGCCACAGTGTGATAACCCGACATCCCGGAATTTCAGTCCATCTCTAGTCTTAAGTATCTGGAGGACTCTGGCCAGGCTTGGCCACTTGGACTAATCTAGAATCCCAAACTTCAAGCCTTTGTTCCCATCTGAGTTACGTGTTCTCGCAGTCAAGTGCCAGAAGTGTTGTGGCTATAAATATCAACTTGGAGAGAAATGGGAGGAAGTGGGGTGGGGGGAGATGGGGGAGTAGAAGAAATAAATGACCGGAAAAAAAATCTACTGATGGGATGAAACCCACCTTCCGGAAGGGAGCTGGCAGTTACAGGGTGTGGTGTGTGTGTGTGTGAGAGAGAGAGAGAGAGAGAGACAGAGACAGAGACAGAGAAAGAAGAGAGACAATGAGAATGAGCTCCAGCTTCTAAACTGCTGGGGGCCTAAAACTTTGCATGGAAAAGTTGCCTGTTTTGAGGCCATCAGTCTTGTGGGCCAGCATGCATGGCCCATCAGTGTGGTACCATCACTAGACAAAGCATCAGAGACGGGCGTGACTCCTAAGGGCAAACGCTGGGTTTAGAATGTCATCTACAGAGCATTCAGAAATAGACTTCCCTCATAGTATTTTGGGAGAAGCAAAACAAAATGTTTACTTATGAAATACCATGCTACCGCCTAGAAGGCTTTTCATGAGAATCCAAAACCATCTCTGGGTGAACCTTTTCCAAACACTTTATCTTCTTTTTCTTTACTTTTTTGTTTTTTAAGTTACATTCTGAAGCAGTGACATCTGAAAGTCAAGACATCTCTGAAGTCTGTTCAGTGTGTCCTTTGTGTTCCTGCCCCCCCTCCCCACGCCCCCAGGACAGTCTGTGCTCTTACAACACTCACCTCAGTTTCTGATAAGATTGTAAGAGCTTTGCCCCAGCTGTCTCGTGGTTTCCTGGAAAAGATATCAAGAGAGGTCATTTATGAGTAAGACTCTAACTTCAGTGATGAAAATGTAGGAAATAAGTCACAACCGTTGAGCTTCTTGTCCTTAAAGAAATATGAGGACTTTGGGGGGGGGTGGTGACAGAAATTGCTCTGAATGATGTTGAGGGTGATACAGTTCTGTAAGCTTATTAAAGTCACTGCCTGGTGCATCTGAAACACAACAAACATTTGAAAAATACATTTCTTTGTATTGACATCGCTAAATTAGATGTTATATAAATGATATTCCACAAAAGCTGTCAAAAAACATTTTCAAGAAAGAGAGCATATTGGCTGGGATAACTGCTTTTATGAAAAGTGAATGTTAGAGTCGATTTTCCAAATCTGGTTAAGGTGAAAAATATTCCATGCGTCCATTTGTCCTTTGGAAACATTTTAGTGGAACAAGTATGTGCCTCTAAGTGGACCTTCTTATGCGGATTACAGTAATCTTTTGAAAAATGTAATCTACTTATTTCTAATTATAAAAGGTAACCATTTCCTAAATAAAGCTGCATCTCATGTAGTACTCTTTTGGTATCCAGGAAAAGTATTAGGGTGTACTAACTCCTCCCGCCCACACTTCTGAGAGCACAAGTCTCCTGGCTGAAATGCACAGTGAAATGAACAGAGGTCAGCCCCCAAGGACACCCTAAGGGGCTGGCCTGGAGGTCAGCCCAAGCCCAGTGTGCGTCTGTGTCTTTAACAGGTGTTAGTCCAATGTACAGGAAGACTTGGGAGTCAGTACTATGTTTGTAAGACGTACCAGGGGTAGGGAGAAATCCAAGAAGGGTAGGGAGGTCTTTGTGAGGGGGGGACAGAGCCTCCAATCTTGGAGCTGGGATGTTACAAATGCTCCAGAGAACACTTTGAACCCACAGCTGAACTTTTGAGTCTACTTGCAGGGTGAGGGCATGCCCTTTCTGGGGGTCATGATGGTGTTCATTGGATTCTTTAAATTCTGTGACACCTCCCCCCCCCCC